TTTTTTTTTTTTTTTTTGCCTGCCCACAGTATATTTTCTCTTTCTGAAAACACCTGATTTTCCTTGGGGGCCACTGCCACTCCATGCACAATTACAATCTGATTCCAGATATCTTTTCTCCTCACTGTAGCACAGGCTGGGCACATAACAAAAGTGCACTCTTCAGCCCTAGAACTTTGAGGTCAGGTGTCACAGGGCTGCAGCCTCATCCTCAGCTGCTGCAAAGAATCAGGGACACAGGAGCTGCTGAGACCACTGCCCCTAAACTGGACTTCTATGTCCTTGCAAATCTGAGAGCCCCAACAACATTTAGCACTATATATAATATATGTAGCTTGCCAGCAAAATCACAAACTATCACAATTGAGAAAAGGAGGGAAGGAGGAATAGGGGAAACAGCAAAAGTCATAAAGAAGGGGAGGGGACTGCACAAAACAGGTAACCCTAGCAAGTATGGTTACCTTTGGCAGGAACACAAGTGTTTATAAATCAAAAGTGACATATTGATTATTACTTGCTAAAATTTATTAAGAATCAAAGTTACAGCTCCCCAGGGAGCAGACATTAGGCATGTGGTGATGGTAATATTCTGAGTTAGCCAGCAGTCACAATGGGGCACTGAAAGGAAACCGTCACATTCAGGAGCACACCTATCACTCCTATAGCATCATATTTCAAAATTCCAACAGGCCTTACTGAAGCGCAGTAAGCTTTCTGGCAGTCTTGTAAATGTTCCTTTTCTTTTTAACATACAAGCCATGACTGAGAGTAGAATGGTCATAAGCATAAGGGGAGAGGGAGAGGCAGAGGAGGGTCTGCAAAACTGTCATTGTGGCACTTAAGAGTAAGAAATGACCTCTGAAAGCCACATGTTACCCTTTCTTCAGGGGAGTAAGCAGAATCTCATCCATCTGATGGGTTGGCTCAATTAGAAATGCTTCTGAAAGCTAAACACAAGAGCAGTTTCTCTAAATCTAAAACACGCTGTAAAAATGACTTAATGAAAAAAGGAGGATACCCTTTTCTACTAGTGCAGTACAGTACTGTGCTCAGTACACCCAGACCAGGTAATTCATTGCTGTGAGGACTGATGCATCACAGGCATCCCTCGCCTTGAGCCACTGCACATCAGCAGCGTGTACACCACCACTTCCAGTTGTGAACATCAAAAATATGTCCAGATATTGACTAATGTCTCCCAGAAGCAAAACCATTCCCACTATGAACTGCTGCCCTAGTAGTATTTTCTATATACTGTTCAGGTGCTCCTTGTTTAATGACTGAGTTATGTTTGTTGACTGAATTGGTCACTAAATGAGGGTTTGTACAGAAATAAGAACATTACAATATGCAGAACAAATAAATGGTCAAAGGGAACACTAGCTTGATGACTTTTATTTCCACAACTCTGACATGTAATACATAACAGAACGTATCACTACAGTACTACACTGTACAGTTCAGTCAGCAAAAATTACAGCACTGTACACAAAAAAGACATTGAGACTCTGTAAACAAGATGTACAGAACTGTTAAGACAGACAGATAAAGATGGGTCATGAATCCAAGTGACAGACTCTAAGTCCAAACACTGCACCTCAGTTGTAAGAAAGAACAGTCATTAATCAACTAGATCATTGAACGAGAGAGATACCTGTATGGTTTTACTTCAGGGGACAAGACTGTGTCAGTGATAAGGGAGAAGAAATTCTAATTTTCACTGCTCGTTTTTTTCTCATTTGAGAGGCTCAAGGACCTTCATCATAATGTGCATCTCTCACTTTTACTCAACTGTTGAGTGGCATACACAACTTAACAAAATTCTCAAACTCAGGTCCAAGTCAGTAGGCACTTTACATCCTGCAGTGAGGACTCTGCTGAACTGGCAGGCACTTTCTACCAAGTTAAAGGGCTAAATAAAGCAGGATACCATGAAGTATAGAAGTGGAGTAATGGTGATGTGATAGTTAACTGGAATCTTTTAAAAACAAAAAAAGTTTACACTGTACTTCTGATTCACTCTGCAACTGAACAACATTTCCGCCTCATACTCAGAGATTTCTGGTCAAACCAGGGGTGAGTATTTTTTTCTAAAGCTTCTCCTAATGACCTACCTTCAGAGCAGATAACAGAAATTCTCATTCAGTACACAGAAAGTATCAGTTTAATTTAACAGCCAAATGTAATAGCTTGGACCACTGATTCTTTTTTCCATCCATCCATCCTTGTTACTGCCTAACACATACAAGAATATATACAAGTTTGTTCGAGTGCAGACACGCAGAAGCTATGCCATACAGCCTAAGACTGGCTTCTTTAAGGTTTCCAAAGGACTGGAAAAACACTAGTGACAGGTTAGTGCACTAAGTACACTCTCATGAAGTGTACCAACAAATTTAATAAGAGGCAATGTTCATTAATCCTAATGAAAATCATCAAGAAGCTATTTCATATTTGATATACCAGGGTCGCATAAAAGTAGCTATAGGCAGGGGGAGGACCCACAAATATTCTCAACAAGGGGAACAAGGTTAAATGGTAGAAAGAATGTTTTCAGCACATGGTACTTCAACAAGTACCTATGTGCCCCCTCCAAAATGAAACTGGATACCTACCTCAAACATAAATAAATGTTAACCCAAAATAAATAAAAGATTAAATTAAAGAGGTCTATAAACTTAAATGAAAAGAAAGGTCTATAAAAATTTCAGGAAAAAAAAGCAGGAGTATACTTTCATTGACCTTGAATTAGGTAATGTTTTGTAGCTACAACATCAAAAGCAGAAGCAATGAAAGAGAACTCAATAAATTGGACTTCATCACATTTAAAAACTTTTGTATTTCCAAGGGTACCACCAAGAAAAAGAAGCCCACTAAATGGGAGAAAGTATTTGCAAATCATGTAACTGGAAAGGGAGCTATGCCTAGAATGTACTGTATAAAGAATTCTTACAACAAAACAATAAAAAGACAAATCAATTGAAAAATGAGTAGGGGCAGGGGAGTGGAGTTCAGTAGTAGAGCACTTGACTATATAATATGCAAGGCTATTCAATCACCAGTACTACTGAAAGAAAAGATGTGTGTGTATGTGAGTGTGTGTGTGTAAGGACTGGAACAAACATTTCTCTAAAGAAGCTATACAAATGACTGAAATACCTGAAAAGATGTTCAACATCATTAGTCATGAAGAAAAGGAAACCAAAATTACAGTGAGATACTACCTCATACTTCACAGGATAGCTACAATCAAAAACTCAGAAAATAACAAATGTTAGTAAGGATGAAAAAAATTGGGACCCCCCCACAATGCTAATAAGAATATAATTTTTTAAAAAAGAATATAATTCAGCACAGCCATTTTGGCAGTCTGCAAATTCCTCCAAAGGGTTAACAGGGTGATTACCATATGGCCCAACAACTCTACTCCTGGACATATACCAAAGAGAAATGGAAATATATATCCACACAAAATCTCCCTTAGTATTCTCAGGAGATTATTCATAATAAAAAGTAGACACAAACCCAATGTCTATCAACTGA